GTTGGTTGCGTTAGCCACCACAACTGAGTTTACATGTTGAATCATACCAGCGTCTCCTAACTAGATGCCTTCCTTATATTAAAACCGCAGCACAGCTGGAGGGCATAACATGAGGAAACGCTGCAGTGAACTTTAAATGGGTGGCTTGCAAAGCGTTAAGAACCAGCCACCTCCATGGCTTCCTGCAGGGGGTGAAATCATCCACTCTTGCTCTGCTATGGTTAATAATTATCAGGCGGCCCTGAAATTAGAAGTTAGTGCAATGTTTGATCCAGCCACTACTTTGTGCATGGAAAGGTTTTCAAGGGATGGTGAGAGAAAGTGGTGTGAGGTTGTGTCGCCACACAAGCCTCAGCTCTGCCTCGGAGCCAGAGAGGGTTAAATGCACAGGAGCCCCGGCAGCATAAAAAAAATGGCAACTTTATTGGGGGACTGCCTTGATCTGCTTTGTTCTAATTAGCCCCTTGGGCTGGGAAATAGATGTGCTGTCCCACCTCACCCCAGCTTCACGCATTGTGCAACTCCATGGGGCTTATTGATTCCATGTGTCCTGCAAAAGCAAAGTTGGGTAATGCCAGAGGTGGTTTTCAAGCAGGTTCTGACCAGTTCTGGAAAACCAGTTGCAGAAATTTTGACTGGTTTGGAGAACCAACAAATCCCACCTCTGACTGGCCCCACCAACAGCTGGGTCTTCTTTGGTTGCCCTGCACAGGAGAAGGGAGCTGGAAAGCAGGTTAGTGGGTGGGGAGGGGGTTTAGGGGATTTTGCAGTATCCTTTCCCTGCCACGCCCACCAAGCCACGCCCACAGGACCAATAGTTTAAAAAAATTGAATCCCACCACTGGATAACACCATGCTTCAGTTAATCATGAATCGGGACATCAAGTAAATGCAGCCTCTGAGATGCTGAGAGAAGGTTTCACCCCCCAAATGGCCACACACACCCCACTAAGCCTTGCCCACCAAGCCACACCCACCAAATCAGTAGTAAAAAATTCTTTTAATCCCGCCACTGACTTCCTTGTGTTTTTTTTTTTCCGTGAAGACATTTCTCTCCTCCTCCCAGAAGCATCTTCAGTTCTTAAGAAGCTTCTTGGATTGAGAAGCAAAACAACTTCAAGGAAAAACAAAGAAAGTTCTAGTTGCCTTTTGAAAACAAATAAAGCACCTTTGGGACAATCGGGCCTTCAGTACCAGCTTTGGATTGTCATATGGTGCTTGAGTCATTTGTAAGTGGTAGGTTTGGGTTTTTTTGTTTTAGAGACGTCATCTTCCTCTGCTCCTTTTTCAATTTTTTTTATTTCATCCTTCCTCTTGAAATATCCTCAAGAGGAGCCAAGTTTTGCAGCTATTATTGCAAAATGAATAACCCCTTGGAGACGTTGAACATGTGTTATAAACATCTCTGCAAGAAGAGGCTGTTTGGATTCCAGAGAGTTAACTTGGATGGTCATCAAAGTACTTTACATCTCTTCTTCCCTAGATAGCATCATTGGCTTCCTCTCAAAGGGATGTATACATATATACATATATATATATATATGTATATTCTCTTGTACTTGTCACAGTGATGCTTCCGAAAAGGATTGGTTGAGCTGTTGTCCATTTCTATGAGGGAAGGGAAAGTGGATGGCTTAGCAGAAAATAACATCCTTGACCAGAAATCCAGTGATAGTGGGTTGCTGGTCACATAAGGACTGAATTCACAAAACATGCTAAACTCTAGCCAACAAATGCCTGTAGAAATTCTCCGTCCTCCAGGTCATGGATGCTCCAAAGATGCTTTTTTCTTTGAAGACGTTTCGCTTCTCAGCTGAAGAAGCTTCTTGGATGAGAAGCCAAACATCTTTGAAGAAAAACCAGAAAGTCCACGAAAAAGCATCTTTGGATTTAGCCCGCAAAGTACAATTGCTGTGTTCATGTACAGCGTAGAAAATGGGATCTACTTGAACTTTTGTTCATCCTAAAGGAAATCAATCCTGAGTGTTCATTGAAGGGCAGGTGCTGTAGCTGAAACTCAAATCCTTTGGCTCCCAAATGAGAAGAGGGGACTCCTTGGGAAAGGCCCCGATGTGGGGAAAGATGGAAGGCAGAAGGAGATGGCAGAGGATGAGATGATTAGATGGTGTCGTTGATCTTGAAGTGGTGCAGTGGCTTGGAGGTGGAGCTCTCACCTCCCAATCAGGAGGTAGTGAGTTTGATCCTAGGTAGAGGCAGATTTCTCTCTCTCTCTGGGCACCCTGAGAATATATCTGCTGAACAAAACTCCACATTGGTGACAGGAAGGGCATCCGGCCAGTAAAACACTCTGCTAGCTCCATTCAGCTGCTAGCTAAATTCCACCCCACAAGAGATTATGGGGTTGTTAAATGATGATGATGATGATTGACGCAATGAACTTGAGTTTGGGTAAACCCTGGGAGATCATGCAGGCCAGGGGGCCTGTTGTGTTGTGGTCCCATGAGATTCCAAGGTGTTGGAGCATGACTTAGAGACTGAACAATAATAACTTAAACTTTTAAAGCTTCCTCGGCATAATCCCTCCCATTTTTGGAGCATTATTCCTAAAAGCCATGCCATGGGTACCTGGAAGAGCACCTTTGGCTGAAAGTTTCATCTTTACATTCAACAAGTGTAACCAAAGGCATCTGTTTGGGAGCCTTTGCTGGAATCACAGAATCTGTTAGACGCTTCTTTAGTTTAACCTCTGCACTTCCCAGAACTGAATTAAATCTATTTGCAGACATCCAGAAACTCTGCGCTTTGATCTGAAGCAATGAGACACTTTCTTCTTTGTGGGAGCAGACAAATGATTGCCTGGTGTAGCAGTGAAAGAAGCAAGAATGCTATACATGGGTAGATGGATGGATAGATGGACAGATGGACAGGTGCACGATAGACAGACAGACAGACAGACAGACAGATGGAAAATGGATGATAGATGGATGAACAAATGGACAGGTGCACAATAGGTAGATGATAGACAGACAGACAGATGGAAGATGGATATTAGATGGATAAACAGATGGACACATGCACAATAGATAGATGGAAGATGGGTGATAGATGGATAGGTAGGTAGGTAGGAAGGTAAGTAGATAGATAGATAGATAGATAGATGATAGATAGATAGATAGGTAGATAGATAGGTAGATAGATAGATAGATAGATAGATAGATAGATAGATAGATAGATAGATAGATAAAAGATGGATGACAGATAGATGACAGACAGACAGAGAGACCAAGATTGATTTCTGAATGGACCATTTCTGCAGTTTTAAGTTTGCACAATCTCAGGTTCTGGGTTTAAAATACGGTGTGCAAAACTGAAGATAATTTGCACAAAATAACATTGTCTATAGTGTATCTTGATTGACTTGATTTATACTGGACCTTTCGGGTATAGTCTCAGTGAAATGCATAAGGTGAAGTGTGATGACTTTCCAAGGAACCAATGATTACCATAGGTTAAATACAAATAATGAATTATGGGTTCATACAATCCACAAATCCCATCACATGTTGTCTACTGTGTTGTGTGAACTCGGGCACTGGACTGAACCAAATTTTCATTGTTTGCGTTTGAATAAAAGGCTGCAATGCCATACAGAGACTATAAACACACAGTGGAATGTAGCCAAGGGCAAAAGGCAATTACTTTGATGTAGTGGGGCTTCAAAGAAAAGGAAATGAAGATCAGGGCATAAAGGAGCACCTTACTTTTATCCACTCACTCATTGGTTACTTAACACAAAGCAAAGAGATTTCTTTCATCTTCCTGAGCTATTCCATAGCTTCCCCTGCAGAGTAGTGTAGCTCTACTGCCCCCTGGTGACCATTTTCAGCAATACTAAACCATACTAAAAACGTCTATGGAGATTCTTGGTCATCCAAGTTATGGTTGTTGTCCCAAAGGTGTGTTTTTTTCAAGAGGCAACTGGACTTTCTTTGTTTTTTTCTTGAAGACATTTTGCTTCTCATCCAAGAAGCTTCTTCAATTCTTCAATCCACTGGGGGGAAAAACCCACCTTTGGGACATTTACTAAGAAAGACAGGTAACTTCCTAACGGCAAGGGTAATTCTGCTCCAGGATTTATACTTCCCCAGGAAGGAACCAACGTCTCCTTTATTGGCTCTGTTTAAGCAAAAGATAGGTAGACATTTGTCCATGATGCTCTGATTTGGAGTCCTGTGCCAAGAGAGATTAACAGCTGTCTTGCTTAGCAATGCATTTTTTGGCTCAGTTGGGATCATAAGTCAAGGACTTGTTAAGGACCTCACAGTTCAGTGAAATAAAATAGAATTGTTCAACATATTGAACTATGGCGGCGCAGTATTTAGAGTGCAGTACTGCAGGCTACTTCTGCTGCCTGCCAGCTGCCTGCAATTTGGCAGTTTGAAACTCACCAGGCTCCAGGTTGACTCAGCCTTCCATCCTTCCGAGGTGGGTAAAATGAGGACCCAGCTGGTTGGGGCAATAGGCAGATTCTGTAAACGGCTTACAGTGGGCTGTAAAGCAAAGTGGTATAGAAGTCTAACTGCTACTGCTATTGCTCTTCCTTCCTTCCTTCCTTCCTTCCTTCCTTCCTTCCTTCCTTCCTTCCTTCCTTCCTTCCTTCCTTCCTTCCTTCCACCTGCCCACCCATCCACGGTGGCGCAGTGGTTAGAGTGCAGTACTGCAAGCTACTTCTACTGATTGCTGGCTGTCAGCAATTTGGCAATTCAGATCTCACCAGGCTCAGGATTGACTCAACCTCCCAACCTTCTGAGGTGGGTAAAATGAGGACCCAGTTTGTTGGGGGCATAGACTTTGTAAACCACTTAGAGAGGGCACTGTGTAAAGCACTGTGAAATGGTATATAAGTGTAAGTGCTGCTGCTATTGCTATAAAGCTAGCTCCTATTTGGCCAAGCATAACAAAGAAGCAACATAGTGTTTAAAAAGCATTCAGATGATATTTTCCCCATTTCCATGGGATCACACTTTATTTATAAATAAAACAATCCAGAAAGCACAAAGAATGAAAATCAAGACTATATAATGAAAGACAAAGCATAAATAAAAAGTAAATCAGAGTTGGAAGAATTCAAAAAAAGGTTGACCTTAATACAATTGAAGCAGGTGGCTTTAATCCTAATCTGGATATCCCTTTGCTAATTTTCTATATAAATAGTCCCATGTATTTGGAACCCCATTTTGGTGTAGTGGTTAAAAATACTAGACCATGAGTTCTAGTATTGGCTTAGGCAGTATGCCAGATGGATGACTTGTGGGGGGCCGGGGGGAGGAGCAGTCACTCAGTCTCAATCAAGGGAAGATTTTTTTATTCAAGAAAAGTTATACGATCACCCAGCTCAGTCTCAATGACACCTGGTGGCTTAGGACATCAATTTCCAGAAATGTTGTCAAATCCATGCAGTTGCAAGAACTCAAGATTGACTGGAAGGCACACTCAGGAATCAGTGAAGTTTAAAATATATATTCTAAAACCATTGCACTAATTCACTTCTGGACGGCAATTACCTCTGACAATTACATCCGGGCCTTCACTGATAAGAGATGAATTGAGGAAGAGCAGGATTGATAAAACCTTCCTGTCTTTATCTGGAATCCACCACTATGTAGCCTGTTGATCAAATGTGGTTAATCTTTTACTGAAGCAGATTCCAACTGCATGGATCTTCCTTGTGTAAACCATCCCACTCGTCAATAAAATCAGTATAAAGCCACACATCTCAAATTATATGAAAAAAACATTATTAAAAACTTGTCCAGACTGTTTTTAAGTCTTATCAAAATTTAAATACACGAAGATCTCAGTCTAAAAATGTTATATTCTAAATTCATTCCCATTCTTAACCATTTGGAGTGTTCAAAATAATAATAATTTCATTGCATATCTTCTAGCCTGCATATTACAAAGGAGACTCTTTTTCAGAAGTGAGTTCTGCTAGGTAGACTGCTATAGACTGCTGTAGATCTGCAATAAAAACCAGTCATGGATTTTGGTTTTGATGTGGATATAAAAGTCTTTATGGTGTGTTGGGTTTATGACACAGCAGTTAATGGCACTAGGAGATGGTCTTGGCTGGGCATTAATTAATATTAGTGTTGTTGTTGTGATGATAATGATTATTATTATTATTATTATTATTATTATTTAGGAGAGGATCATTTAATCCGTTCTTCATTCCATTCTTCATACATTCCTCTTCAGTATCACTGAGGGAGTCTTCTTCTTCATCATCACTCCGTTCATCTTTAACATTCTAGGGAGAAAGAATATCAAAATCATTCTGAAAAAGTTAATTATGCACCATGTGGATTGATTGGCGTTACAGAAAACGAGGAAAATGTGACATTCAGAAGAGGTGTAGACCAACAGTGATTGATTGTCAGGCACAAAGGATCAGGACTATATGTAAAGTTGGGTTACCATTCCACTGGCTTGTGGATAAGGGTTTGTGAAAAGCATAGAAAGAAAAATTTTCAAATAATACTGAAGGGAAATCATACGTTATACTCATATGTATTTTTGGACACCTTTTCAGTGGTGGCACTCCCTAAAATTTGATGCCCTGGATGACTGCTTAGTTTGCCAAAGACTACAACTGATCATAGTGCAATTCTACACACATATAAAGCAAAGGTAAAGGTTCCCCTCGCACATATGTGCTAGTCGTTTTCGGCTCTAGGGGGTGGTGCTCATTTCCACTACAAAGCCAAAGAGCCAGCGTTGTCTGAAGACGTCTCCGTGGTCATGTGGCCGGCATGACTAAACTCCGAAGACGCACGGAATGCTGTTACCTTCTCACCAAAGTTGTCCCTATTTTTCTACTTGTATTTTTTACATGCTTTCAAACTGCTAGGTTGGCAGAAGCTGGGACAAGTAATGGGAGCTCACTCCATTACATGGTGCTAGGGATTCGAACCACTGAACTGCTGACCTTTTTAATCGATAGCTCGGTGTCTTAGCCACTGAGCCACCGCATCCCCTTGCATACATATATGCTAGACCAAATTTGCAGAGCTTTACAAATTATTTATTTACTATTTAGACTGAAATCGTGTAAATGCTTTAGCTTGGAAGAACATTGCTTTGAGAACTGCATTGACCCCTCTTGCACAGCAAGGGCACATTTTCTTTGGAACTTTGGGGGGTTTATTGGGTTTGTATTGGGGTTTTATTTTCATAAGCCACCCAGAGACATTGTGAGTGAGTTGGGCAGCCATATACATTTTCTTAATAAATAAATATTAAATAAGTAAATAAGTAAATCTTAGATGTACCCATAGATAAGATAGATAAGATAGATGATAGATAAGATAGATGATAGATAGATAGATAGATAGATAGATAGATAGATAGATAGATAGATAGATA